TCTGAGCTCACAAAGCAGTGTAGAGAAGCTATAAAGGAAGACCTCGAAGAGAGAAGAGCAGCATTGCTAGCAGATGTGGCAGAAGCCGGGAAAAGCATTCGCAATGCCTGCCTGTCCTTCGCTAACTATGAGACTAAGATGACTTCCATCTGACGTCCTGATGGATCTAGCACATCTTCCAGAAGGGCAATGGAGAAGATCATCCATGACTTCTCAGATCCTTTGATAGCCACGTCCACCTGCCCACATACCAAATTCAGCAGGATCGATATGTCGTTCCCAATGTTTCCCTTCCGAAACCTGACACGCCATTTCCTCAGTAAAGAAGTGAACAGCACCTGACCCAGACAAGGGTCAGATCCGAACACCTGAAGAACCTGCATCGGTACTCATCAATATACTGGCTTGGCTCTTCACACGCTATCTGTCTGAATGCAAGGTTCCGTCCCAGTGGAAAACCAGCAGGACTGTACTATTGTACAAGAAGGGAGACATCCATGACATTGGCAACTATTGCCCGATCTGCTCGTTGTCTGTCATCTACAAGTTGTTCACTCAAGTCATCCTGAATAGGATTGGCAGAACACTAGATGAAGGACAACCATGTGAGCAAGCTGGGTTCTGAAAAGGATTCAGCACAATTGACCATATCCACACAATAACCAAGCTCCTTGAGATTTCTTGGGAGTTCAAGATGCCGCTCTGCCTAACGTTCATTGATTTAAAGAAGGTCTTTGATTCTGTTGAGAATGAAATGGTCATCGAAGCCCTAGCCAAACAGGGCATTCAAACTCAATGCATCAGGATCCTCCGTGAGCTGTATTACGAATTCACTACCATGATCTCACCATTCTACAAGGAAGTGATCATCCGTATCAAGAGAGGGGTTCAGCAGAGTGATACCATTTCTCCGAACTCTTTAGTGCCACCCTCGAGAACGCCATGCGAAGACTGGAATGGGAAGAAATGGAAGTGAAGATAGATGCTCGACAACTACACCACCTCCGCTTCACTGATGATATCATTCTAATAACATCAAATATTAGCCAAGTGGCACAAATGTTGGCCGACTTCAACCGTGAGTGTGGAAAGGTCAGAATACAGCTGAATATCACAAAGACAATGTTTATGAGAAACAGTCTCGTTCCTGACGCTCCATTCGCTCTCAACAGAATGAACATCTCCGAATGCAACAGTTAACTGTACCTAGGTTGAGAAGTCAACATGACGAATGACCTGGCACCTGAGTTGCACAGGAGGAAGAGAGTAGCTTGGACCACCTTCAAGAGCATAGAAGAAATAGCTAAGAGGATGAAGAACCTCTGGCTCTGGGCACGTCTCTTCAATTCCACTGTTCTTCCTGCATTAACATACGCCTCAGAGACCTGGGCCCTACGAAACAGGATGAGCACACTATTCGGGTCTCCTAAAGAGGAATCGAAAGAGCTATACTTGGAGTATCACGCTTCACTCAAGTGAGAGAAAGAGTCCGATCTTTGATCAAGAATCGGGGAGGGGGGGTGGCATGGAGGGATAGCACAGTGGGTAGGGTATTTGCTTTGCCTGCAGCTGACCCGGGTTTGATACCTGGCATCCCGTATGTCTCCTGAGCACTGCCAGGAGTAATTCCAGGAGTGCAAAGTCAGAAGTAACCCCTGAGCATTTCTTGGTATGACCCAAAAAGAAAAATAAAGAATCAGGGACGCTGTCTTGTTTGCCAAGGCATCGAAAATCAGATGGGCTGGGCACGTAATGAGATTTGGAGACGACCGCTGGACTAGAGCGGTTACCAACTGAATTCCATGGGATGTCAAAAGATTGCATGGCCACCTGCCTACGAGATAGTCAGACTTCTTCATCAAGACCCTGAACAATCGGTTTGAGGCTCTTCGTGTTCCTAGAACGAGCAGACACCATTGGGCTACACTAGCATGCGACAGGGACAAATGGAGATATTACTGGCTCCTGCTCGAGCAAATCGATGAGTAACAGGATGTCAAGTGATCAAGTGATCAAGTGATCAAGTAACAACTTGTGATTGAAAACATTCTTATTGAAATGATTTATTGAAAATTAGTTAAGGGAAGAGATGAATTACTTTCATTTTATTAACATACTCTATTTTATTGTATAAATATGTATTTTTACCTATAGATAGAAATCTATTTGTAAAGTATTACCTTTTCTCCTTAAAAGATATTTCCTCCTCAGAGTGAGGCAGTCAGTATCAGGATCAGATCACTGCATTCAAGGCACTGGGGATAAGGTTCAGGACCACATGACTATCCACTGGTCCATCTTCAGATGGCACCAAGGTTTGAACTCAGAACACTGTATTTGTCAGGCAAGTGCTTTAAGGCATTAAACTGTTTTCATGGTGCCCAAAGGAACCATTTTTCATTGTGCAAGGGTCACAGTCACTGTCACTGTCCTCCCATAGTTCATCGATTTGCTTGAGCAGGCCCAGTAACGTCTCCATTTTTTGAGTCTTGTTGTTACTGTGTTTGGCATATTGAATGTGTCACGGGAAGCTTAACAGGTTTTGCCATGCAGGCGAGATACTCTCGGTAGCTTGCTGGGCTCTCTGAGAGGTGTGGAGGAAACGAACCTGGCTCGGCTGGGATGGCTGCACACAAGGCAAACGCCCTACCGCTATGCTATCACTAAATGCTCATAATCTTGACTAGTCAGCTCCACTTTTACCTTTGTACTTTTAGGTTCAAAGAAGACCAACAATACATTATAGATGCTTAGAGAATGTTTATTGAAGCACTAACTGAAGTCAAAAATTAAAAAATTGACAGTGGGTCAAAGAGACCACAAGCACTGCCAGGAATAATCTCTGAATACAGAAACAAGAATAAACACTTAGAAGCTCCGTGTGGTCCAAAACATCCGGAATATCTGCCAAAAAAAGTTGACAGTAATTTACATACTAGTTTTGAAAGATATCTTAAGGACAAACTATCTACTGTAACAATGACTACAAATTTCTTTAGAGTGTAGTGAAAAAGGATTTTTATCATCATTGAATAATAATAGGCTGAAAATACAGTTTAAGTTAAATTTGTGAAGATCCTTTGTAAACATTTTTTGCAAACACCTAGTATTAATTTTGATTCCAATGTTAATTCATGTGTCTTCATAAATTCAAATTAATAAAATACTACTGTATTTCCGAATTAATTCATGTACTCAGTTTACATGCATTTAGAATTTTTAACTATGACAAATTAGCCAGCATTTATAATCTCTACTTCCACAAACACAATGGCTAATGCAAAAAAGTTCTATTTCACTTCATACAAAACCTTGTCTTAAGACTTGGTTGAAAGACCATAGAGATAGTACACCTGGTAGGGCCCATGCCTTGCACTGGTCGACGAGGGTTCCATTCCTAGCCCCACATATAGTCCGACAAACTCACCAGGAATGATCCCTGAGCGCAGAGCCAAGAGGAAGTCCTGAGAACTGCTGGGTGCGCCCCCATAACCCACCAGCCCCCCATAAAAAACAACAAAAGCAAAACAAAGAAAGAGGCTTGATTAAATTAATTGCTGAGAAATTAATAAACGACAAACATTTAACTGAAAGCAGCTGGTAGGCTTACTGCATTTGGACGTTACACTTATGATGCAATTAAAAATTTATTTTTCAAACCCTTCCCTCCTCTGGAAACCCCTCTTGTTATGTTCACAAACCTTGATTCTTGCTTTCTCTACAAATTCCCAAAGTATTTTTCCCCCAATTTAGATGCAGCTCCAATTCAAGGAATCCAGCCCCTGATGCAGGGGGCGTCTACACAAACTCTTCCACTGAAGGAACAAAAAAGGAGCAAGGAAACCTAGGACTATAATCCCTGTTAGGAAAATCAGTTCCATGCTTTCATCTAGGTAGCACCTTTCGGAGTCAGAAAAAGCAAATGTCTTCCCGCTGTGGCACTTCTTTTGGGAAGACACGAAGTACCCACCACACCTGCCAACTTTTTTGGTGGCAACTTTTGCAGCTTCTCTGCCCTTTTTACCTGCCACCTCCTGTCCCCGCCCCGCATTTTTTTCTTGCATCACAGCTTTCTCCCCTCTTTTTTTTTTTTTCAAGTCCTGGCCACCTGGGGTAGAGTTGAAGCTGAACCAAGCAGATGGGAGGTATGGAGTGGAAGAACTTTTCAAGTCCTGGCCACCCGGGGTAGAGTTGAAGCTGGACCAAGCGGATGGGAGAACTTGAACTGTTGCCAAGGAGACCCGGAGTGGGGGCTCGGGAGCATCCCGCTCGCAGCCAATCAGAGAAGGCGGCCCGAGAGGCGCGGAACCCGGAGGACTACGTTTCCCAGAAGCCCGTCGGGGCCCCGCGTTGTTTTTCTGCTCTCCGCTCTGGACCTCCTCAACCCGGGGACTGCTAGGACGGCGACGGGGGTCGCTGGGCACGCCCGGCCGAGCCGCGGGAGGGACACGGTTCCCTGGTGGCCACGCGTCGATCGAGGAAGGGCGGTGCTAGCAGGGTGGCAGGCCAGCTGCGGCTCGGGGCTCCGACCGGGAGGGCTGCATTGTCGTCCTGTGTTCCAGCTGGATGTCGGTCCCAGAGGACGAGGAGAGGCTTTTGCCGCTCGCCCAGAGATGGCCCCGTGCGAGCAAGTTCCTACTGTCCGGCTGCGCGGCCACCGTGGCCGAGTTAGGTACCCGGCCGCCCACGCCTGGGCCTTTCCCGCGAGTCGAGGAGGCGCCGCGCTGGGGTGGGGGACTGGCGGGCGGTTGGGACCCGGGCCGGTGCCGCCTGCCAGCTTGCACCTCGTCCGGCAGCGGTGGCTGGGCCGAGGCAGGCTCGGATTCAGCCAGGTCGGGAGGAGGCATTGGAGGTCACCTAGGTCTTTCCCTCCCAATTTCATCTCCCTCCGAGGCGTGTGACCGTGTCTCCACGCGTACTTTTTAGAAGCTTCCTGGCGATCGTGTCTCTGTAGGAAGCATTGCCCCATTCGTGAGTATGACCTTTATTAAAAAAAAAAAAAATCACAATTCCCCTTTTCCTCCTTGGGACAGTCTGATTTTTTTTTTGACTGGCACAAACCACGTTGTGTTTGGGGGTTCAAGTTTTGGACCCACCCTTGTGGGGCTTCTGTTACTGCCTGTCACATATTGACCATCTGTTATTTGACTGCCTCTCCTAGATGACCTGCCAGTAATTTGACTCCTCTGAACTCATACATATGTACTTAATTGGCAGCCTGGCACCAATTGCAGTGCTCTGAGAATTTCTTGAATACTAGGGGACTGCAGAGATTGTGGTTGGAAAGACCCAGTCTTGACTTTACATGGCTTGTGGGGCAAAATGCAGAGCCAGACATTTACATGGTACGATTTGTTGTAACGAAAGTATCATCCAGTTTCATAAGAACCTAGCGGTTGGACAGTGGCATCGGCCTATGGGAGTCAGATAAAAATTGCAAGGCCACCGAGAGTAGCTTTATGGTGCCCTATGCATGAACAGGTGGTGTTTTTTCTTCCAAGAAGTCTGTGAGTAAAGTGTTTTCTGTAAAATCTTCATACCGTTTCATTACCCTTTTCTTTTTCTTGTCCATTAAAAGAAAGGCAACAAACATGCTGTCATTTTTCCCCTTCTAAAATGAGTTTATTTTGTATTACAGAGGAATCAGCATGTGACCTGTTGTTTCATCCTTTGTGCTCCTCTACTCTTCTCCTTAGACCTTTTATTTATTTTTTCCTCTCTCCTGCCAAAGCGGATAGTGGAATTTAACTATTAACTGTCTTCATTGAAACACAACTCAACAACTATGAAAAAAAATACGAATTTCTGAATGATTATATCTTCAATTGTTGTTGTAATGATGTTTCTTTCAGTGACAAATTTCTGTAAAGCAACATTTATTTTGTTAAAAAAAACATTAGAAATTATGAGAGAATGAGGTGGAATAAAATAAAAATATGAGATGATTTTTGAGTACCAAAAATCACTGAGAATTTGATGCATTACTTAAGTCATCCAGAAGAAAACCAAAAATAATTTTGAGGCATAACCTATGATAAAATAGATGCGCCTACATAACTAGATTTTATTCAGATTTCATATGTCAATAAAACATTGTATGAATCATCAATATGCAAACTACTTCTATTTTAGTGAAACTATTCACAAGATAGTAGCTTTTCCAACAACCCAGTGCAAAGATTTATTTCCTCACTTTCCCCTTTAGTTTCTCTGGAAAAAAGCATCTATGATTTTGTATTAGATGGTAGTCACTGGAAAGACATATAATGTCAATAATATTTATGGTCTTCCTGAATCTGGCCGTATCCATTGTACAGAACACCATATTCAGAAAGTTACGCGCTCACTCATGTGGGCAAGTTAGTTTCACTATGTTTTGAAGTAAATTTCTAGATCTAAAAAAAAATGTAGTACTTCAGGAAAGTTTCAAGCACAGCTGATTCTTATAAAGAGTCTATGCATAAACATCAATGCTAGAAAAACAACTCAATAAAATTCTAAACCGAAAGAATATTGAGTATGTCATTCTTACACATAAAAGACAACAGTTTGAACTCCATATTGCTGCTTCTGTATATCAAAATATCAGGTCAGTGATTTATTTGCATGTAAATAACACTGATGAAATTAAGTGGTTTCGATTCATCTGGCATTCATTAAGATCTTACTATAAGTGATTCAGTTTCTAAAAGTCACATTAAGATCTTAGTAATTATTTCTGCAGTCAATGGGAGAGAATGAAACATGGGTTACTTTCATTAGAAAATACAGTTATTCCCAGTAGAAAGCAAAAACTGAGAGTTAAAGCAGATTTTAGGCTTGACATTGTAGAATATGTTTACTGTTATCTGACGGTGCTTTCGTAAAGTGAGCTTAAGTTTTGGAGTGTATAAGAATGATTTATTAACCGATAAACCTACATCAACCTTCTGAGAGTCCACAGACATGGGACCAGGAAATTTGTTGTCTTTGCAATTTATTTAGCTGATTCTGAAGTACTCTAAAACTCGAAAATTACTGATCTTGTACAGAAAATAATAATCTAATGTTTTAAGAATTTTTTTGTTTGTTTCTCTGAATGTTGTGGGTTCCCCCCGCATTTTGTTTTTATTTTATTAGCAACCTTTCCTCTCGATCTCACAAAAACTCGACTCCAGATGCAAGGAGAAGCTGCCCTTGCTCGTTTGGGAGACAGTGGAAAAGAATCTGCTCCCTACAGGGGCATGGTGCGCACAGCCTTAGGGATTGTCCAAGAGGAAGGCTTTCTAAAGCTTTGGCAAGGAGTGACACCTGCCATTTACAGGCACGTAGGTATTTATCTTGATTCAAGCTGGTAAGTTTTGGTATGAGTTCTCTGTCCATCCTCTCTACCCTTGTCTCTAGCTGTGTCTAAGTCCAAGCTCGTTTTACCTATTAAAATGAAAAGTGAATATATTTTCTTTTATGAAACAGAATATTAACTAACAACTAAAGAGATGATTGCTTTAGCTTTTAGAAATACATTTGAAAGTATCTAGGGATGAACTCTCATGGTACTTATAATTTATTTTATGTTTTGGGGCCATACTCAGCAATGCTCAGGGCTTATTCTTGGCTCTGCACTCAGGGATCACTCTTGGCAGAGCTCAGAGGACTTTAAGTGGTTTCAGGGATTGAACCTGGGTTGCCTGTCCCCTATAATTAATGTTAATTGACAAATATCAATAGCATGTGTAAAGGGGAGGGGTATCATTTTATGTTTGAAATTTCTTCTCATAAAGATTTTTTAAAATTTTACAAAATAGAAAAATGATTCTTTTTCTTTCATTTTTGAACCTGAAAACATAAAATATTTTTGGTTCTATGACAATAAAAATATACATGACCGGAAAGCTACATCTTATCAGTTTCTATACCATTTGTTAGAGATCATGTTATCTTGAGATTACAAGGAGAACCACTCCAACTCTGGCAATAGAGTAAGTGGAATGCAGAAAATTTCTGCCTCTTTTCACAGGCTAGCTGATTAGCTACATGGGCTTTTAGTCATCCTTAAGGGAAAGTAGTTATAACTACACTATAACCAAAAATAAAGAGTTATTGAGTGTTCAGCTTACAGACGTTTAGTACGTTAACTGGGCTTCCAAAGGAGCTAGTATAGGTATGGCACAGTGCATCGACAAAAGTGTCCAAAAGTGTAGAGGGGCCCTTTATCACAAAAGTGGCCAGTCAAATATTTACCAACTTATTATTTCTAAGGACTGGAGCGAGAACATCGGGGTTAGGGTGTTTGTCTTGCACGCAGCAGACCTGGGTTTGATTCCTCCACCCCTCTCAGGGAGCCCGGCAAGCTACCGAGAGTATTCCGCCTGCACTGCAGAGCCTGGCAAGCTACCCATGATGTATTTGATATGCCAGAAAACAGTAACAACAAGTTTCACAATGGAGACGTTACTGGTGCCCACTCAAGCAAATCAATGAACAACAGGAAGACAGTGCTATAGTGCTATTATTTCCAAAGCTTCAGTTCTTCAGATAGTAATTGTTCACCAAGAACTCTCTGGAAATATGTACAGAGACTGTTAACTGTCTTGGTACTTGGTATATTTTGAATATATTAAACTATCCAGATTTCCTGCAATATCAGGAAAAAGTCTTTGTACGAACATCACTGGTTTTAATTCTTTTTATTTTTCTATTGTTAGTTTTTTATGGGTTTCTTTTTAATTTATAATTAGCACCACATGATCTCACAGTTAAAATTAATTTCATGTTTGAAACTTAAAGTTCATAATAACAAATTAATATAACAGTATTTAATGAAGATGTACATAGCTATTTAACAAAAAAGTGTACCGACTGCTGTATTAGGGCAATAGTACAATGAAAACTTGCCAAGTCTTCCTTTTCATAGTAAATGGTGTGATGAAAATATGAGCAAGAAAATCATGTTGATATCTGGTCAGCATGAGAGATGCCATTTTACAGGCATACTTGGGTACTTTTAAGGGAACAGAATAAGTAGGACAACCTAGAACACTTGGGGAAAGGTCAGAGAGCACTTTTCAGAAAACATTCTTTGAGTTGGGTCTTCAAGCCTAGTAAGCAAAACAGAGAAGGGAGAATCCATTCAACAAAGATCAGACAGCAAGATAAGAAGTTATGAAGCTAAAAATAACATGCACATGCAAAGAAATCCAAGAAGTCCCTGCATCAGAAGCATAAGACACATGAGAGAAAGGTAGAGAGTGGCCAACTAAGCCAGGTCATCATGTCCTGTTATTGCATCACACATATAACTGAACTCACCTTCCAATGATCTGTTTTATACAGTATACTCTGGAGGTCGAATGGTGACATATGAACATCTCCGTGAAGTTGTGTTTGGCAAGAGTGAAGATAAACACTATCCTCTTTGGTAAGGTTTGTTTTGAAATTATTATATAATTGTGCCTAAGGCTTTAATGTTTACCTATTGTATAAAATTGTATAGCCACTACATTTTCCCCATAGGATTAAATTATGATGAATGTAGGAATTTATCACATGTGACAGAAGGAGAAAATAGACCATTATAGTAATATGCATAGAACTATTAATAAAAATACCAGGAACCCAAAAGAAAAATAGGGGAAAATACCATAAAAGACAATTCACAAAAAAAAAAAAGAAATACAAACATTCTATAATGTCAAATGTACTGAAATTTAAATAGTGTCCAACCTCATCGGTAGTTAGAGAAATTAATTAAAACTGTAGTTTAGCCTTTAAGCTTTTAATGGAATGTGTAACTTATTTGATGTTAGGTTATTTCTATAGTTGAGAAAATTGAAGACAAAACAGGTGAAGTTATTTTCTCAGATTACACCGTACTAGAACAAGAATTTGAGTCCACTACTTCACACTTTGAATATTCTTTTAGAGTAAGATGAAAGATTCCTTTCTCCTTCAAGAGGCTATTGTAGTATTCTAGATAAAAGATGATTGGAGCCTGGTCTGACACAAGGGTAACTGGAAAAGGAGAGATGCCAGCAGGTTTAAATATAGCCATCTAAACTTGATTACTCTTGACTTAGGGAAGTGAGGCCCAAAAGAAAAAAAATTTAGGGACAGACGTGGCAAGTTTGCAGTTCCCCTTCACTTTGGAGCAGTACTAAAATGGTTAATTTTAATTTACAAGCTTTTATCTGGGAGACTGATCAAGTCTAAGCTGGTTTTATTCCTCAGCAGTCCAAATTAAACTACTATTAAATTAATCATTCAAATGTTATGTCTTTGAAACAACTGCCCTTCCTTTAAATTTAAATTTCAGGCTACTAAGTCCCTTACATCTCAAATTTGAATTCCAGCCCCTCACAATTCTTTAATTCCCCATATGTAAACAGACACCTCCTTACCTTTGTGATTTGTTAGGTTATGTTCTTTTGTTGACTTCATCTTAAATCCTGTACAGGGGCTGTACCACCCTTGGTATCATTCATTATTCAATTTATGGAATCAATAGTAACCTTTAAACAACATATCTCCTTTTATAAACAGGAAATCGGTGATAGGTGGGATGATGGCTGGTGTTGTTGGCCAATTTTTAGCTAATCCAACGGATCTAGTGAAGGTACAGATGCAAATGGAAGGAAAAAGGAAACTTGAAGGAAAACCTTTGCGGTAAGTTCTCTAAGTAACTGGTACTTTTCCTTTCCCCGTTGCTGACTTCATATTTTGAACATTTACCTAGCGACTTAAGGCATTTTTATAATCCTTCAATCAATAAAGGCATTAATTTTGGTTCCTCAGTTTGGAAGTTATGTTAATTAGGGTGAGCACAAAGATAGGTTCTTTGCATTGTAAGGTTCTCTACTAATTATATTTCTGCAGTGTTCTTTGCTGCTTTTCACAGCCAAAGCAGCTAGATTTATTTTCCCCTATCACAGCTTGATATACAGTCTGTTCATTAACACTTGTCCTGGTAAGAATCCTAATTTTGCAATTCTGATTTGATGTTGTGGAGTTACATTTCTAGATCTGTTTATTTTTTTCAGGGGAGGGGGTACTTCTTTTATTTGAACACATATTACCAGTTTGTAATCTCATATATGTGTGTGTATATATATATATGTATATGTGCATATATATGATTATCAGTTTGCAATCATTCAGGTATGTTCCTTATATAGGTAAGCATTACAATGACATCTGCATCTGCTATATTATTATTATTCCCATATGACTGTAATATACCAATCTTATTTCATGACCCTTTATTATAAAAGTCTGCCTTTCTGGGACCAGAGTGATAGCATAGCAGGTCAGGCACTTGCCTTACATGTAGCTGGCGCAGGATTGATCACTGGCACCATATAGCCCTGCTAGGAGTAATCCCTGAGCACAGAGCCAGGACTAAGCCCTGAGCACTGCAAGGTGTGCTCCTCCCAATCCACAACCCCTCCCCCCCCAAAAAAAAAGTCAGCTTTTCTTCAAAGGGCTTTATGATCAGTGATTTCTTAAAATAACATTTAAGTAGTTTCCTCTAGAAAAAGGGTAAAACATGGCAGATTTTTCTTTCCCTGGAAAGAAGGAAACTCTGAGCTACTCTGAACCAAGAGATCTGTTGCTCTGAATACTGGGGTGTGAGGCTGAGCAGGAAAGCGGGGTGTGGGTCTCTTGTGGAAATTCCTTGTGCCTCTCCTTTTTGCTGTGCTGCTTCTCTGACTCACTGGAAATGAGGCTGGGCTATAGGAGTCTCGGTTACTTCTCAGCCTTCCAAATAGGGTGCCAGTGGGCATCTCAGAGGAGGAAGGAGAACTGCTTTGTCCAACAAGGAAAGATTAAAGTCCTGGGGTCCACTGTGTCATCTTTTAATCACTTCTAATTACTAAGTAGCAGAAAAAGTACCTTTAGAAAGATAAGTAGCTTTCATAAATGGGATCCAGGCATAATCTAGTTGATCATCTCAATTCCCCGTTTTTCTCTAATATGGAAATTTGGGATTTGATCAAGTAGTAAGAACTTTTTTTGTTGTTAGTTGTACCCTGATAGCAGATTCAAGTTCAGGCTTTACCACAGTTTAGCTCTATAACTCTGGTCAGTGTACGTCTCATAGCCTCAGTTTTTTTCAGGTATAAATTCTAATGATAATACAAGTTTCTAAGAATAAGATATATTTTATATATGGAGAAGTCGAGTTTTCTTACCTACACAATACATTTTAGCTATAATTATCATCTTTCCTTGAATATAGCAGCAATTATGCATGCTCATTGAATATGCCATATGATCTTTTTAGTCAGTATCAAGCTACATATTAAGTAATGGTAGTATTTCAGATTATATGGAACCAAGAGTTTTATACCAATGGCTTCCAGATTTGGTCATGGTTCAAGCACAATCTTAATCTTATAGAAAAAGAACTAAAATAAAAAGAATAGATCTTCATAAACTCCAAAATGTATTCAATTTTAAATGCTCTTTTAATGAAATTGTTCTTACTTTTGTGCAAAGAGGTTATGCAAAGAGATTATGTGAGGATTAAATTTTTAATGTTATTTGGTGAAATTACAAAATTTTCAGGTTTTTCATAATACTGGTAAAATGAAGTCTGATGACCACTGTTCCCTTCACAACTAATGTATGTATCAGGAAAGCAATTTTATACAAATGGCCAAAAGGCACATGAAAAAAATGCTCTATATTACTAATCATCAGGGAGATGCAAATCAAAACAACAATGAGATATCATCTCACACATAGAGACTGGGACATATCAAAAAGAACAAGAGTAACCAGTGCTGACGCAGATATGGAGAGAAAGGAACTCTTTCATTGTTGGTGGGAATGCCGACTGGTCCAGCCCTTTTGGAAAACAATATGGGTATTCCTTCAAAAACTAGAAATTGAGTTTCCATCTGACTCAGCAATACCACTTCTGGGGACATATCCCAAGGGTTTAAAAAAACACAGCATAAATGACACCTGCACCTGTATGTTCACTGCAGCACTGTTCACAGTAGCCAAAATCTGAAAACAAATCAAGTGCCTGAGTACAAATGACTGGTTAAAAATCTTTGGTATATCTACATTAATGGAATATTATGCAGCTGTTAGGAAAGATGGAGTTATTAAATTTGCTTATAAGTGGATATCATGAAGAGTATCAGGCTAAGTGAAATGAGTCAGGAAGAGAGGGACAGATGTAGAATGACTGCATTCATTTGTAGAATATAAAATAATATATACGAATATATATATATATATATATATATATATATATATATATATATATAAAACTGAAGCCCAAGGACAGTAGAGACAGGGCCAGGAATATTGCTCCATAGTTGGAAGCCTGCCTCATGAGCTGGGGGAGAAGGCAGCTGGAATAGAGAAGGGATCACTAAGTCAATGATGGTTGGAGGGATCATTCGGGATGGGAGATGTGTGCTGAAAGTAGGTAAAGGACTAAACATGAAAGCTCTAAGTATCTGTATTGCGCACCGTAATGCTCAAAAGTAGAGAGCGTGGGGGAAACTGTCTGCCATACAGAAAAGGGGAGGGTTGGGATGGGGGGGTAACTGGGGACATTGATGGTGGAAGATGTGCACTGGTGGAGGGATGGGTGTTTTGATCATTGTATGTCTGAAATGCAAACATGAAAACTTTGTGACTGAAATAAAAGGAATTTTAATGTGTTTAGTAATCTGAGAATAAAATGACAAGTTTATGAAGATTCCATTCAAATAATTAAATGAAGGGTTGGAATTATAGCTCAGTGGGTAGAGCATGTGGCCAACCTGGGTTTGATCCCTGGACACCTTGTACCCCTGCCAAGAATGATCCCTGAGCACAGCCAAGTGTGGCCTCCCCTTTGAAATTAAATTTCATTTAATTGGGCTGGAGCGATAGCACAGCGGGTAGGGCGTCTGCCTTGCACGCAGCCAACATGGCCGACCCGAGTTCGATTCCTCCGCCCCTCTCGGAGAGTCCGGCAAGTTACCGAGAGTATTCGGTATGCCAGACACAGTAACAACAAAGTCTCCAATGGAGACGTTACTGGGCCCGCTCGAGCAAATCGATGATCAACGGGAGGGCCTTTACTTTTTTACCCTTTTTTAGTTTGGTTTGGTTTGGGGGAATACCAGGTGCTGCTCAGGGTTATTCCTGACTCTGCCCTTAGGAATTACTTCTAGTAGATTTAGGGAACCATATGGGATGCAGGAGATTGAACCTGGGTCAGTTATGTGCTAACTGCTGTACTATCTCCCCAGCCCCTGAAACTTAAAATAAGTTTTTAGGGGCTGGAGCGATAGCACAACGGGTAGGGTGTTTGCCTTGAATGCGGTCGACCTGGTTTCGATCCCCAGCATCCATATGGTCCCCCAAGAACCGCCAGGAGTAATTCCTGAATACATGAGCCAGGAGCAACCCCGTGCATTGCTGGGTGTGATGACCCAAAAAGAAAAAATATTTTTTTTTAGTTAGTTTATATGGAAATTCAAGAAATGCAAATTACTTTGATTCCTAACCATTCTAAGGTATCTCTGTGCACCAAATCGTGCCATCTAGGGGTGAAGCATATCCAACTGCACCCCATACATAAGAATATATGTATAATTTTCACATTTCATTTTTTTCTTTAGATTTCGTGGTGTGCATCATGCATTTGCGAAAATCTTAGCTGAAGGAGGAATACGTGGGCTTTGGGCAGGCTGGGTACCCAATATACAAAGAGCAGCGCTGGTGAATATGGGAGGTAATAGAAACATTATTGAAATCTGAGCTCTTTATTGCCTTCCTCCATTATAAATACTTGGTAGGGAAAACAAACATTTTAACTTTAGTACCATAGTATACTGGTAAATCTCTCCTCATAATTGAGTATTTTCCCTAGAGCGTTTCCACTTGGTTTTATGGTTATGTATGAAAAGAATTTCTTTAATTTGTGGCAATAAGGAGCAAATTGTTTCTCAGCTCTCATCTCTACAAATCCTCCTCCTATTGTGCTATTACCCTTCATGGTCAACACAGTATTCTAGGCTGGAAATATTAATGTTTCCTTATCTCATCTCTAGCCCTCACTTCCCATTTTCAGTTATGAATTTCTTCCATTTTGAAATATTCCTTATAAAATTCTTCCCTCTGGCACAAACAACTTTAATGTTTTTAATGTTCTAAAAATACTACATATTTTTTGTATCATTTATCATCAAAACTTCTCAACTAGACCACTGCTGTAGCCATTGTTCTCTCCCTCCATCCTCAAATGGATATACCCAGTCTCCAAAGCAATTTATATAGAACACAGACATGGACATAAAACCCTTCACTGTATCTCATCACACAGGATAAATTGATAAATTTCCCAACATAACACAGAAGGTCTGTACCTTTAGAGAATTGAGCTGTTTAGTGATTCTGAACTGAAATGGAAAATCAGCACTAAACTCATTCTCTAGTCACCTGCCAAAATTTCTTCACCTCTGAACTTTCAGTCCTCATTCCTTTCTACTTCTTCTGTTTAATTAATGTTCTTCTTCATATTCTCCCAACCCCCACTTTTGTTTTGTTTTGTTTTTTGGTGCTGGAGTTAGAATCCAAGACTTTGAACATTCACGACTTTGAAGACTGTGCACTAACTAAACTGAGCTACATCCCTGATCCCCTCTGTGTTTCTTTTGCTTGTTCTTTTTTTCTCTGTTTTTAGCTACACTCAGTGATACTCAGGACTTACTCGTGACTCTGTGTTCAGGGATCCTTTCTTGCAGGCTCAGACGACCATGTGGGGTGCCAGGGATCAAACACAGGTCAGCCTTGTGTAAGTCAAATGCTGAACTATTGCACCAGCTCTATCTTTTAATACTGAGCTGAGGTCTCTCCCCCCACCTGCACATCCCCAACCACCCCTACCCAGTTGTATTTTATGCCCATTTAGATGTTTTTTTATTTTTTTGTAGTTTCCTGTGCTTCTGTTACTACTATGCCTCATTCCATTCCGTTCTTTTATGTATCTTCTCCACACAAGCATGGGCATCTTAAGGCTAGGACTGAATTTTATTTATCTTTATTACTCCAGTCTCTCATTAGCCATTTGATGTGTGAGTTAATTAGTAAAGGAATCATTTCTAAGAACAAAATTATATCATTCTAAGAAACTTAGTGACATCAGTTTTAAGGCTTATAGTAAAATATTATCCAAGGAAGTAAATCTGTTTTCTCTTTTGCTGTTTCAGCCATTCCATGTCTACCGCACCTTATTGGTGGATATTTCAGTTTGTCAGGATACCTTTCTAATTGTAATTTCTTAATTAATTGCTTCAAAAATATATTGCAGGAGGCCAGGAATATTGCCCAAGCAGCTCTACCACATGCTTTATATGCAGGAAACCTCGGTTCTATTCCTGACCCACATGGTCTCTGGAACCAGAAATAGTCCTGGAGATTTCCAGCTGTGACTTAAAAACAAAACAAAATGAGATCTCTTACAGGGATGGTGTATAGTCCAGCAGTAGAGAACTTGCCTTGCATGTGGGAGTCCCTAGGTTCAATTCCTGCTACCTCCAAGAAATAAAAAAAAAACCAAAAATCTGTTGATTGCCGCTTATATTTGCCTTCTAAGTTACAGCAATTTTCTAAGCACCTTCATTTGGCTATCTCAAATATATCACACTGAATATATCCAAATCAAACTGATTTATTAAACTAATTCCTTCTTCATTCTGCCCAATTCCAAAATAGGATATCACCATTCTTTCATTTGGATAACAGAGCAAGCATGATATGTTTCCTTTCACTTCCAGTCAGTCAATCAGTCAGTTACAAAGTTCAGCCAATTCTATCTCCCAAATATATTACAAAATCCTCTGCTTTCATATCTGGAGCCATTTTTTTGTCTAATTATTATTTATCCTCTACGTGAGTACTATAGTCTTATCTTTCTCCCTTTCTTATCTCCCCCGCCCCAAATATTTCCCCATTCCCAACAATATCTCTGAAACTGCTCTTACCAGTTCACCAGTGCCTGTCATTTGAAAGATGTTAACAGAGCTATTTCTCATCTTTACCAGCTCAATCAACAGCTGCTATGTCCTGCAAATTATCGAAGCTTTAAACTTTCAATCATCTTTGATTTCCTTTCACTTAGTATTCAGTATGAGGGCTAATCTTGTAAATTCTGCCCTCAAAAAAAAAAAGGCGTAATCTATTCTGACCAGTGCTCTATAACTCATTTATCCAAGTCATCATTTCTTACCAGAAATGATAAATGCAATAGTTTCATATCTATCCTGTTTCACCTCCCTAAATGATACTCTTAAGAGGACAGCCAGAGTGATTATCATAAATAGTGAGTCAGCCCTTTGTTTAGAACATTCCCCTGGCTTCTGCTGCTCTTTGGGATCTGAGCACTGCTACTTCTCTGAACTTTGCTTAATATTGCACCAGTATTTTTGCTATTCCTTTTGCGTAATGAACTTTCATCCTGGGGTTACAGTGCATCTGTTCTCTTGCCTAGGACACTCTCTCTTACGTTTCTACAAGGTTTATTTTCTTCTTCCTTTAGATCTCTGCTCAGATGGTATTAAAGATGCCTTATTGATTACTCTCTAAAATGCTTAAACATCATTTCCCCCATCTTCTGACACCAGTTACCATCTTCTGACACCAGTTATCTTCTTAACATGCCTTTACAGCAGTTATTACCATCTGAAATGCCAGACAGTTCACTTACTTATTTTTTTTCCTGCCTCAACAAAGCATGGGGATTTTCTTACTTTTGTCCATGGACTCTTTCACAGTTCCTAGAATAGTATCACACAATAGGCCCTCCAAATCTAGTGAGTGGTTAAGTATTCTGGCCTCTTCACGATTTAGTGCAGACGATATTATAAACCTCCTGGACAGTGATATGCCACTCCCCTGTTTATACTTCAACAGCTCTTTACTGTCTCAGGAAAACCTATAAAAGGTTAATATAGAACGATGTCCGGACCTCCTAGTTATAAGTGAGAGCATCTCAACTCAAGCTAATTTAGGCTAAAACAAAAGTAATTTGTCAGCTCAGATACTGAAAAGTCCAGCAGGGTAAGTTGACCTTACACTCAGCTGCATTCAGATAATCAACAGAGAGAATTGATTATATATTTTTAATGATTATTAGTTTATGTAATATGGTTACAATAATGTTAATGTTTATGCTTTTGACATACAAAGTTACTGCTCCTCATCTGTCACCAAAGTGACAAATAAGACCTTCCACTACTGCCCTTGTGTTGCTTCTAGTCTGTCTTTTCTTTCCCCCAAACCTCTCTCCTACTGCTTGGCTGTCTTCTCCCTATTTCCTTTCCTCCCATCCATCAGTAGCTGTAATTTCCTCTAATTGATAATAAGTATCTTTCATCCTTTTATACATTTATGCCCCATACCTAGCATACTCTAGATACAGAAGACACTTTCTGATTAAGTGAATATTTAAGATTTCTTTTTTTATTGCCAGATTTAACTACCTATGATACAGTGAAACACTATTTGGTATTGAATATACAGCTTGAAGAAAATATCATGACTCATGGTTTATCAAGGTAAGTAATTTTTGTATTGAATTTTTATTATAAATATAGATAAATATAAGTTACAAATATAAATCATCAAACTTCTCAAAGTTTGTAGGTAACATGGGGAAGAGAGAGAAGGTTGAAAAATGTTTTACTTTCTCAAAATATCTTATACCTTGTTGGGTCTATCCCAGGGTTAGATTCTGATGACAGTTCCTCCACTCAACAGCTATGTATAAGTACTTTTTTTAAATTTTGAAAGCAAGACCCAGCAGTTGTATAAAAGGTAAACCCAACTCCCTTCTATGAAGTGTACCCAGGGCACAAAAAAGGAAATATGCAAATAATAAACACTAAAAGAAATCTAGTTACTATAGAGTTGAGAGGAGGAAACAAAAATTGGAAGGACCTACAAAAGAGAAAGAATTAAATAAGATATTTGAAGGGTTGTAATTCTTCACAGAAATAGTAAGAAGAACACTGCAGTGAGGAATAGTGCCTGCCATAACCTCCTAACACACCTAAAATTCTCCTCTAGAGTAACTTATGTTTTAAATGTCTGGCACCCATAACATTACTATTTAATTTAGGTATAGATCTTGCTTGTAAATCCTTTATGCTATTTATATAAGTGTTTTTTATACGTTTTTATTCTATGGACTAGTGAAAACAGAACTTGAGTTGACATGCTCTCACTGATAACTAAGAGGTCCGGACATCATTCTATATTAACCTTTTATAGGTTTTCCTGAGACAGTGAAAAGCTGTTGAAGTGCAAACAAGGGGAGTGGCATATCACCGTACAGGCGGTTTATAATATTGCCTGCACTAAGTAAATTGTCACTGTCACTGTCCTCCCGTTGTTTATCGATTTGCTCGAGTGGGCCCAGTAATGTCTCCATTGGAGACTTTGTTGTTACTGTGTTTGGCATATCAAATACATCACGGGTAGCTTTCCAGGATCTGCCGTGCGGGCGAGATACTCTCGGTAGCTTGCCGGGCTCTCCGAGAGGGGTGGAGGAATCGAATTCGGGTCGGCCATGTTGGCCGCGTGCAAGGCAAATGCCCTATTGCTGTACTATCGCTCCAGCCCAAGTAAATTGTGAAGAGGCAAAAATATTTGACCACTCACCAGATCTGGAGGGCCTATTGTGTACTAGATACTATTCTAGTAACTGTGAAAGAGCCCATGGATAAAATTTCATAGACTTCTAAAGCAGAAATAGAATATACATTTATAATAAAAATTTTACATATAAATGTTCAGATATAAATATTATGTACCACTCCAGAATCCAGGTATAGGTATAGCTTAATAATAACATTTTTGCAAACATGCCTTTAAAAGAAGAAGCAACCCAAAATTATATTAACAGTGTTACATCAGTGATATTTGAGAATGTATAGATCTAGATGGAAATTACTTCTAATTTCAGGCTCATCTTACTATTCTTGAAGTAGTTTTACTTTGTTCCTTCTCTTTTAAAGTGTTAACTTTAAATGCTGCTATAGCAATTAAGTGTCTTTACTTTTGTTCTTTTCATTCCAAAACCTCACCTTAATATGCTCACGCTTTATATGCCATTATTTCTCTATATTTCTTTTTCTGTTTTTTTAATTTATTTTTTGAATCAACAGTTACAAAGCTTTCAGATTTAAGTATCGGTCACACAATGATCAAACACCTATCCCTTCACCAGTGCATATTTTCCACCACCAAGAACCCCAATATACCCCCCCATGCCACCCTTCCCCATGCCTGTGAGGCAGATGATTTCCATTTAACTCTCTCTCTACTTTGATCACATTCACTATTTAGACAAAAGATGCACCATTATTATTTGGAATTTCCCCCCAACAATCAAACCTGCTGAAACGGCATCATGAAATAATTTGTTTTCTATTGCTGGTTATGAAGACCATACAATGTCTGCATTCGTGTGATTTTGGATCTCTGATATTTTACTAATTAAGTCTGGGGGAATTTCTGCTAAAAGCCAAATAGTTCTGAGATTTCTTTGTGTTTCTCTGGGTCCATGGCCATGACAGAGAGCTGCTTGTGGGTCAACTCGTGGTCTCGGCAGGGCAAGAAGGACGTGCCGGTTCCATCCCCCATCCCATTCCATGAGGCTGAAGTTGCCCCGTCACCGCTGGTTCATACCTGGCTGTCCAATAAGCTCCGAGGTGGCAGCCACCATGCTGCTGGGGACGGGGGGTGGTGGAAGAAACACCCTTTCCCTCCTGGGGTGGGGGGCACAGTGCCATAGCTTACTGCATAGTCCATTCACATTTCTGCCAGAAGCTGCTGGGTTCCGAATTAGGTCCCTGTGTCTCTGGGGCCATGGCCGTGCTGGAGAGCCGCTCGTGGGGGGCAACTCTTGGTCTTGGCAGGACAAGAAGAAACTATTTCTCTATATTTCTCTATCCAATAGTTTATGCTTCCTCTTTTACAGAGAAAAGGGGACTGGTCTGCTTCCACTTTTTCTTCCATCCCTATAAGCATATCTGTTACACTTACCCTTACCTTCTTCCCCCTGCCATCTTTGTTCATGTTGTTTGTTCTAAGACTTTCTTTCCCAATTTCCCCAGTGGATTAACCTGAGATACCTTCATATCTTACAAGATGCTTATATATGTTTCAATCTTGAGACCTATTTGGGGAGCATTATATCCAGATCTGTAATAATTCTATAGTGAAATTACCTATTTCTTTATCAATGTTTTTCTACCCTCTACCCACATATTTTTTTTTAAATAACCAAATTTCTAATCTAAGAGTCGTGCATTTCACAGTAGGTGTAAACCTAACTAACATAATACTATTCCACCTATTGTAATTGAACACTGCATTCTGTCCTAATCTCAAATAAGTTAGTGTTGTTGCTTGCTAATTCACGTTTTCAGAATATGAGGTATTTGACTCCACCCCCAGGTTTTAAAGTAGGTGATAGGAGTATTTATTAAATTCATGAAATTAAAAAGTTCCCCACTAAAAATCCAAATCTAAACAAGTAAATACTTCTATGTGTTTGGAAGTTTGGATGCTCTGTTAAAGGACACAATGAATACACACAGAAGCATGAAGGGACTTTAACTGTATAGCCAGCATCTGATGAGCCATCAACATCTTAGGAAGAAGTCTGATAATAAAAAAATGATATATACATAAACAGCATACTTTAAATGGTTAACATGGCAAATAGGATAAATTGTGTGATATATGAATATAATATATATTACAACCTTTTAAATGACATAAGTAAAATGAGGACCCTCTAGGGTAGAAGCAGCAGAAAACAGGATTTCAGTGTGATGGGAATACAGGTGACAACATATGTAAGTAAGGAAAGCAAAGAAAAGATAAGAAGTTGAATTAATTTATGATCAGGTAATAATATATGAGAAAAAGCCCTTTCTTAAAATTATGGGCTACTGGGAAATAGATCTGTACAAAAATTATTTCATGCTGTCTGAAGATTATAGATGAGCTTGGTTACTGGGTGAAGAAGATCACCAATTCTAACACAGTGCTGATAAAATATTTTAAATTTGTCTTGTAGATAGCCCATTTGGTCTCCTGGAGATAACAGAAGAGTTGTCCAACTACTCTCTGTCCATTATTAGGTTAGCTGTGTTCTGGGCTCCTTCAGGTGTGTTATGAGCAAGGAATAATAGTTTCAAAACAAAGTAGCAACATACACTACAAAATGAAAATTTGGCAAAATCAGTTTCTCTTATTGTTCTATCTTCTCACTTAGACTCTTACTATGTTATTTTCTTTCTTTTGATACTTACAATTAATACTTACAATTTACAGAAACCTAGATAGACTGTATGTCCTCAAAAAAAAAACCCGTAAGAAGAGAATGTGACCACTGACAGTTGCATTCTGTGCCAGATGGGGCCACAGTTGCTGAAGAGGATAGGTGACCTTTATCCTTGAATAATTACATATGTTCACATTTTGAAATATAATTTTAGTAATATAATACTCTCTTGAGATAGTTACCATGCCTAGCATTTACATATGAAGTTGAACTAGAACTCAGCTTCTCTGAAACAAATGAACAAATAAAAACTTAGTGTTTCCTTCCAAAGATAGGGAGGCCATTTCTATTTCTGCTCCATTTGTTTGTTCCTCTTCTTGATTATTTTGCGTTTTTTTCTTTTTTGGAAGAGGCGGGTTTCTGGGTCATACCTTGTAGTTCTCAGAGGCTATTCCTTGCTCTCAGTTCAGGGATCATTTCGAGTGGTACTTGGGCACCGAGTGCAGTGCGAGGGATTGAATTAGGACCAGCCACTTGCAAAGCAATTCCCTTAACCCATGTACTATTTCTCTGGCCCCGTATATTAGGTTTCTAAGTTTTGTTAGCTTTTTGCAATTCTATAAATTGAATCTGTGAGTCATGTCCACAACTGACTGCTACGACTGAGCCACAACTTTACCCTCTGGATATTGCTCTCATTAGCTCATGTTGGAACATAAATGAATTTTCTGTGTTATTCTGAGATACTTTTGCATGGAAATATATTTGAAAAATCAATAATATTAAACTCACAGAATCTGAGTAAATAGGAGGTTAGACTTCAAAGAATTTGAACAAAGAGGAAATAATATGAAAGAGCAATCTGTACTTATTAGAATATATGTGGTTAAACAATAAGTTCTTTCCACAGAGACAAATGCCTATTTTATAGGCAAAGACCTAAAAAAATTATATGCATGGCTGGGTTATATGCTTTACTGTCACAACCTATTAGTGAAGTGGAATTTAAACAGTGGCCAGGGTGAACTTTTTTTTTAATGGTAACCAAATACTCGTTTGCCTGCCTAAAATCCTCTCAATAACTTACCTTCACTTCAAAAATAAAATCATACTCCTTAAATAGCGTTGGCTACTGGACTGATCTCAATCTTCGATCTTCTGACCTGACTCCTCCAGGATGCTACAACCATGTTGGCTGTGTTCTGTCTCTTAATGATTCCCAAAGTATTCTTGACTCAGGGCTTTTCATCTAAAGATGCGGAAAGTTGACTATAGACTAAACATGATTGTCACCCATTGCCTCTTTTGCAAACCATAACACCCAATAGGAGAGAGAGAACAAAAGGAATGCCCTGCCACAGAGGCAGAGTGAGATGGGGAGGATGGGGAGTGGGAGGGATACTGGGATCTGTGGTGGTGGGAAATGGGCACTGGTGGAGGGATGGGTAATTGATCATTGTATAATTAAAACCCAAGCACAAAAATTTGTAAGTCTTCAACTGTACCTCATGGTGTCTCACTAATAAAAATTTTTTAAAAAAGAAAAAAAACAAAAAAAAAGTTTTATTAATCATAAAAAAAATATTAGCCATTTTGTATGGACACAGTAAGAGATACATTAAGCTTATTGTGTGGCCCTCCTGGGGACATCTCGTTATAGATCCCAGACTACAGTGCTAAGGCCAGATTAGTCTTTCCTAACCCTAAGCAGGGTCCTAATCCAGTTGTTACTCTTTGGATCATGACAGAATTTGTCCATGACCATGCTCTTAACTTATAGTTAAGTATTATGGATTTTGGCCTGGCCCATTTCAATGCCAGGGTAGCTCACAGCTTGCCCTGTGTCCATCCAGCCCCTTGTTGGGACACTGCTTTTGGGGTACTAGGAACTAAGGGCAACTGAGGCTTTAGTCAAGAAAACATACCCAGGAATGAATACTATTCCGAGTCAGTTAACTCCCAAGAAAAGCATAGCATTGTCTTCTTGTATCTGTACAAAAAGGACATTGCTCTGAAGTAAATTATGCAAAGGGAAAAGCAATATTTCACTTACAAATACAAATCAACAGAGTCTGATTTGGAATAAAGGTGATTTACCAGTTGGGGAAGCAGAGCACAGAGAAGAGGTTAAAGATAAATGCACAGGAATGGGAGTGCCTAGGGAGCACTGTGATGGGTGTAACCCAGTAAACCTAAGCTTTCTGTGGGAGAAAGGACAAACCAATGCTATTCTACAGATCATTATTTTGAAGAATATTACTGTGATGAATTTATTTCATTTTGTGTTGAGTTCCTGAAGAATAGGAATTACATATGCTGTCTCTTAATTGTATTTATTTGTATTTATTAGTTTCTGTTCTGGACTGGTGGCTTCTATTCTGGGAACACCTGCTGATGTCATCAAGAGCCGAATCATGAATCAACCACGAGATAAACAAGGAAGGTAGACACAGAAAGTCTTTAGTATTCATATATCTGAAAATCTGTAATAATAATGTTCCTTAAAGATTTTTTCTCTGTTATTAGAAATATATTTGTGTGTTTATGTGTTCAACCAGGAAATTATTTTCATGCAATTATCCACTCTTTGTCTACTGGAAAAATACTGTCTCTTCAGGGGAAATTAGTTTAGCTTAATGGTCAATAATGTTATTTAGACACATATTTTTTATTTAACTGTTTTTGAAAAAAATTCTCTTGACAATTTAAAGAACTCGTTCTTCAGACATAGAGAATTTGATTTATTATAAAACAGTATGTTTTCTCTGGAAGTGATCAGGTGAAGTGAATTCTAAGACCAAAGATGGGATGAAGGGTCAATCTTGAACATATTAACCTTATGCTTAAAAGAAAGTATTATTTGTTCTAAACAAGAAGAAGGTAGTTTACACATAGGAATTTTCTATAGTAAAGGTAAAGGTAAAGGCCCTCCCATTGTTCATCGATTTGCTCGAGCGGGCCCAGTAACATCTCCATTGGAGACTTTGTTGTTACTGTGTTTGGCATATTGAATACATCACGGGTGGCTTGCCAGGCTGTGACGTGTGGGCGAGATTATTTGTTCTAAACAAGAAGAAGGTAGTTTACATATAGGAATTTTCTGTAGAATATTCTTAATTTATTAATACATCAGAAATTTAACAGAATTGTCTTGTTTCTTTTTTAGGGGACTTTTATATAAATCATCAACTGATTGTTTGATTCAGGCTGTTCAAGGAGAAGGATTTATGAGTTTATATAAAGGCTTTGTACCATCATGGCTGAGAATGGTAAGGTTTGATTTTTCCTTCCTTTCTTTTTGTTTTCTTTGTACTTAAATTAAAGTATGTAAACAGTTTCCCTTTTCTGTTTTGTGTGGTTTTATATCTCATGCTTTCTCTTACCATTCCTCAATTTCATATTGCCTTCTTTTTTGATAGATTAAAGTAAAATAATTCAGTTACATCTAAAAAATAGGTTGATTTTCTGTTGTTATAATGATAATATATAGTTTCCCTGCAGTGTAAACCTTAGTAGTATGTTTAGTCAAAATATTTTGGGACAGGTGTACAGGTGTACTAGACCATATCTGTTAAATTGTTATTGCTTCAAACAAATGTTATACCAAACACTTCATTTCCCATTGTTACAAGCACTGCCCAGGGGGCTCCTGGCTGTCTTTGGTGTACTGGGCAATGTGGCCCAATGCTGTGAACAATTGCTGTGGTACCATTTAGGCTCAGTGATATTAAAGTCCACTACAGCTACACCCACAGGTTCTTTGGCAGGGGGTGGTAGAGTTAGGCCATGCAGGGTCAGGATTCAGATTCAGGTCCTGTGCACACAAATTGTGTACCCCTCACCCCTGAAAAATCTCTCTCGTCTCTGAATTATAGTTTTATTGAAGTGAATGAAGATATATAATCAGACAGACTTATTTAAATAACATAGAAAATATAATAAAAACAAGGTACTCAGGTATTTCATAGATTAGAAAATACTTTAAAGCATCAATGATTTACAGATTTAGAAATTTAAATAAGCAACACTTTGCACAATATAATAAAATTGAGTACCTCCCTTGTGCAAAGTCTAAAAGGTGAAAGGAACATGACTAGATAAGGCTGGCCAACGTTGTGTTGCTCTTTTTTATAGATTAACTCACTGAATTCTCCCAGTGGTCTGTTTAATAGATTATAATCATCTCTCTCTTCCACAAAGGAGAAAGCAAGTTTAAAGAGCCAAAGTAACTTGACCAGATTAGCTGATAATTAACTCATGGGGTCAGAGCACCAAACTCTAGAGGCAGTCTTAACTCTTAAGGACATAATAGTCTGCCAGTGATTATGAACAAAATGCTGTGTGAACAAAGAAAGTAAAATAACTTTACTAAATTTTACTAATTTTAGTAAAATGGCTTTACTAAAGAGTAGGGGAAAGAGAACTTCTTAAATATTTGATCCGATCTGTGAAGGATCAGTGAGGTTTGTCAAAAAAGTATGATGGGATAATGAAGTATCTTGAGTATGATAAACTGAGTTCACGTATGAACTCAGTTTATTAGGAGAACTGAAAATTCAATGTGGCTGCAGAAACAGTCCTCAGAGAGAAGGTTGTTTGAGAGAAGTCTAGAGTAGTGATTTCTCAGAGAGGAGACAGAGAAATCTAGAGTAGCAGTTCCTCAGAGAGGAAGCTGTTTTAGAGAAATCAAGAGTAGTTTTGTTTGTTTTGTTTTGTTTTGTGTTTTTTTAATTGAATCACTGTGAGATAGTTACAAAGCGTTTATCATTGAGTTTCAGTCATACAGTGATCAAACACCCATTCCCTCCATCAGTGTAACTTTCCCACCACCAATGTCTCCAGTATCCCTCCCACCATCCCCACTCCATCCCACCCTCTGCCTCTATGGCAGGCACTTTCCATCTTGCTCTCTCTTAAAGTAGTGGTTTTCAGCCACTTTTCCATGGATTGGCACTAGTCCAAATAAATATCCTGCTTTTCAATGGCCCACAGGAAAAAAGAAGATCAAAGAACACTGTTTTACCAGCTATCACCATTCTATCTCCTAAATATTGATGCTATTTTCTTTGGTTCAAGCTGAATTCAAGTTATTGTTGTTACCTCTCTCCTCTGGGCTGGAGCAATAGCACAGCGGGTAGGAGTTTGCCTTGCACGCAGCCAACATGACTGACCCAAGTTCGATTCTCCGCCCCTCTTGGAGAGCCCGGCAAGCTACTGAGAGTATCTCACCCGTTCAGCAAAGCCTGGCAAGCTACCCGTGGTGTATTCGATATGCCAAACACAGTAACAACAAAGTCTCACAATGGAGACGTTAGTGGGCCCGCTCGAGAAAATCGATGAACAATGGGAGGACAGGACAGGACAGGACAGGACAGGACAGGACAGGACAGGACCTCTCTCCTCTATTATGATTCCTGGCCTTCTTAACCCTCATGTGCAGAGCTCATCAAGCCAGAGCTCACTCTCAGGGGCAATATGGCCTTTCTTGATTGAGAGTCTGCCTTCCTCTGTCCTTGCTCTATGTAGCACTCCCCTAAGTCTGCCTTCACTTGCTAGGTTTTTTTTTCTTTTTGGGTCACACCTGGCGATGCACAGGGGTTACTCCTGGCTCTGCACTCAGGAGTTACTCCTGGCAGTGCTCAGGGCACCATATGGGATGCTGGGAATCGAACCCGGGTTGGCCGCATGCAAGGCAAACGCCCTACCCTCTGTGCTATCTCTCCAGCCCCTTACTAGGTTTTCTTAATTTTCCTGAACTCATGTTCTTTGTCTGCTCCAGCTATTTCCTCTACCCTGAGGGTTCTTTTCTGCCTTTAGTGCCTTGCTAAGTCTGATTCGTTCACTAAATCTCAGTTCACAAGCCCATTCTCTAGGAAGAAGTTTTTAAAGATTAGGTTGAGAAGAACCCTATGGATGAAGTTTAGTAGTTGAGATGTAACCCTGTACTTAGAAAGCAGCTACTTAAACATGAGAGTAATGTAGTTAGATTTGTTTGGGGACAAGATTGCTTTGGCAACAATGTAGAAAACACTTTGAAAAGTAGGATTTGGATAGAGAGATAGTAGAGTGGGCAGGGCTCTTGCCTTGCAAGTGACCAACCTGGATTCCATCCCTGGCACCCTATATGATTCCTAGAGCACCATCAGGAGTGATCTCTGAGCTCAGAGCCAGGAATAAGTCCAGAGCAATCCAAGGGGTAGGTCTAAAACCAAAAGAAAAGAAAAATGAAAGAAAGGTAGAGCACAAAAAAATAAGTTTTGAGTAGACTGATCCTAGGGACATTATGTATAGTGAGGGAAAAAGGGAAAAATGTTGATGTTTCTAGTGTGTGAATACACTAGAAACTATGATGATGCATAAGTACAATGATAAAAAACCAAGGGCAAAGAACTTAGAGAACATCCATGTATATAGGAATATGGAAACCACTTAACACTACTCTTTTTTCTTTATACGAGACTTATAAAATACGTGTGACATACACACACTCACAAAAAAGTATGTAATATGTGATGAGCACTATGTTGTTTAACTATTCTTTTTAGTCTTACAGAAACAGTAAAATGTGTGGCATTTATCATTTTTCAGATGAGAAAACTGGTTTTTGAAATATGCTTATGTTCAGAGCAAGTATGGGGTAGAGCAGGGAACTGACAGTAGATTTATTCAACTCTAAACCCATGCTCTCAATTAACATAGCATATCATATTTTTACGGAACATTTTAAAGTTTAAAGAAAATAAACTGGCTTTTAAAGGAAAAGGTTGAATCATTATCAATAATAACCAGGGTAGTATGAATGACCATAGTGCATCACTCTGAGCTTTGAAACCTAACTTTGAACTTTCCAAATTTTCCTTGAAAATGTGGACTAATTTCAGCTAATATCATTAAAATCAATTAAATTGCACCACCTTTTTAGCTCATTCATTCATATTGACAGAAACAGTTTGCAAGTGATTCAGAGGTTGAAGTCCTCTGCATTGTGTGCTCACTTCTAAATTCAAGCTAGTAAATAGGGAACCAGATTATAATTTTTAAAACATTGCTTGCTAAACACAGAATAGTATAGGAATTTACTTGTAAACTGGATATTGTTTAAGTATATCAGTTTATGCCAAGGGTGTAATTTTAGGTGTTCAGTTTCACAATAGTAGGCACAGAAAAGGACTTCATGCTTTTTTCTCCAGTAATTATAACAAGAGGCAGACCAAAGAACACAAAATGAATTCATACACACTTGGAAAATTTTTGAAGTTATAACTATATCAGGGAGGAAGAATTTTGTAAACATGTGCTATCCACATGTTGCTCTGCACAGAGGTTCAATATCTACATTTATACACTACTCATGTTATTTGACTATGTAACCTCCCTCTTCTATTCAAAACCCAGTCAACTCATTCCCAATGTCTTTTATATATAGGTATTCCCAATGCCTCCTAACTTACTTTGCAAAATCCCTGATTAATGTTCATTTCATTTGCATTTAGCTTAGTTACTATGTCATTAATATGACAAAGGAGTCAATTACCAGTCATAAGAATGATTCTGTGGTTCATTCTTAATTAAAGTCTTTGTTCCTTGATCTGATTGCTGTTATACCTTGGGTTCAGTTCATTTTTATTGTCACAGGAACATGGCATTGTCACATTCTGAATTTTGTCTATATATTCACACATTTAAGTTACTAAGTTCTTTTAAATTCATTATTTAGTAAATTTTTAGTCTACCAAAATAACACACTCAATATTTCCAAACACTTTTGACATCCACATTGCTTACAGACATAAACTCTCTAAATACGTTTAATGATTGCTTAAGCAATTAGATTGATCTCTAGTATGGGAGAATTTCTTTCTGATTAATATCACCTATTTGCCAAACAAGAAGTTGATTGAAGACACCCATACTGATTTTTACTTTAGATTTACTCTGATTTTTCTCTGTGAGTTTAATATTTATATTTTCTATTGTTGAGTAACCTTCATCTTTTTCTAGTTCACTTAAGTACCAGTACACCTTCATTTAAACTAGTCAAGTGTTCACAAGCTGGAAGGTCTTTTTTCTATTTAATATGAATTTTTATACCATTTATTGTGGCCCATAATACCACATTAATGTTGACAGTTTCATAACCCATCAAAGAATAATCTTTCATCATCTTCACTTTCAATAATTAGTGCCTCTTTGTCATGTTCTCTATACAAACCTTTTGTACATCCCAGCCTAGAATTCAGGTATAAAAAGTGCTACTCTTTTAGCAAGTACTACCTGAGTAAAAAGAATATAAAAATGGAAGTCAGAAGCCTATGTTCTAAGCTCTATACCATGCTGACAAGCATTTAATTGGTATTTGTTTTGTTTGGGGGGCCACTCCCAGCAGTGCTTAGCAGTTGGCTCTATACTCAGGAATCACTCCTGGTACGCTCAGGAGTCCAAATGAGATGCTGGGAATCAAACCCAGGTCAGCTGTGTGCAAGGCAAGAGCTTTACCTGCTGTGCTAGCTCTCTGACCCCATTAATTATTAAGACTCAGTCTTTTTTATCTATAAAAGGGAGATAATAATCTTTCTTTTCTATTCTAAATTCTCCAGAGATATTTCTGAGAAATATAATATGGAAATGCTTTGATAATTATAATTTGCTTTACAGAAATTAAATATCAAATTATGTTATCAGCCTAATTGACTTCAAGATGACTGTCATTTAAATATGTGTATATAGAGTATTTTGCATTGATTTGAAATATGCACTAACTTTTTTGATTAATCTTTCAGACCCCTTGGTCACTGGTGTTCTGGCTTACCTATGAAAAAATCAGAGAGATGAGTGGAGTCAGTCCATTTTAAATCCTTAAAGATCCAGTCCCTAAAGAGACAGTGGTCAGTATCACTGAAATTTGAGCATCTGCAACATACTCCCCCTATTCTTTCTACCTCTTTAGGAAGACACTCAAGAGACTCTGATTATAGGGGACGGCACTTTATTTTTCCCTGGAAAACCAACTTTTCTTTGACTCCTCTTTTTGTTCAAAAGTAATCAGGTTGGATCACACAAGGCCACCAAATGAGTTACCAAGCACATCATTTTCTAAAGAAGAATCAAATCCTGATCAAGTACTTATCTCAGGCAAGAAGATTTGGCCTTTGAGATACTATGCTATGCTGAAGAGCCTGCTTAAGGAGAAGTGGCAGGAAGGATACAACATCTCAGATCTGAAGTAGACAATAGAAATGTAGAAGAACATCTCTCTATAGTGTTAAAATGATATATAACCTGTTATGTCAGTATTTACAGTTTAAATTTGATAATTCACATTTCTGTTGTTAAAGCGCACATACTGTTCATTAGAGGGTGACATGAAAATTCATGAAATAAACATTTTGAGTTTCCCTAGTATTGGAGGAAGTTGATGTACCTTTTCTTATCTGGAGGATGAGAAAAAACAAGGTGATATGATGTTTGTATTTCAAGAAAAGTAGTGGCTTTCTGTCTTTGTCCCAACATTCAGTCTGATTTAATGGTTAATGTTCTACTACACATGGTAAGGACATCCTGACAGGCTCTGAATCTGGATGAATTGCACGGAAGCAATACGTACCTGGTTACATTATACTATTACAATTTGAACTTGTTACTAGCTCTCAAGAATATCAATATACTTTAAAAATTCCCTTTATTTGATTAAGGCTTAGGTAGCTAAATCCTTCTAAGAAAGTAACTTTAGTTCTCACCAGCCTTTCGGTGGCGTTTCAAAAGCTGACATCAAACTGAGGTGAAGTAAAAAATCTGACATCAAACAGGTGAAGTTAGCCTGAGATGAAGTTAGGGCTGATATGCAGCCTTTATTATCTTCTATTCCTTAACACTAATGACCCTAGAGAAAGAAACCCCAAAAACCTCAAAAGCTGTTTTAAGGCTGCATCTTAGCCAGTGTGACAAAGCTTTCTACCGAAAGTGATGAGCAAAAGTCATCTGTGATACACAGTTAGGTCTACAGTTACTGAATCAAATCTCATCTATTTTAGAAAGGTGAGAGGTTTCTTCAGATTTGTTTACATAACATGTGCCCCCCCCCAATTCAGATAGTTTCTGGCTGGGTGACTATAGTTAGAGTAGAGACCAACTGTCAAAACAGGAAAGCCGAAAAAGTTCATAACCAACAAAGATCTTGGAGCTAATCAAATAAAATTTGATATGATACATGTAATGTTGAACAGAAAAAAAAATGTTTACAAGTTGCACTAATGTCTAAATCACTGCCATTTTAAAAGAAGTATTCTTTTAAATAGATTTAATGTGATGTGATAATATGCAGTGATCTATTGCTTTTATATTGAATTTGCAGAATGTAGAATTAATCTCTTAAAATATTTAGGTAGTCTACTTTTTCAGTCATTTGTTGATATGTATAAAATCGAGTTGTTAAATATATTTAAAACAATATTCTGTACTTAAATTCCCAAATGTTTTGTATTGGAATCACTTGGGAAATTTTTGGTTTTAAGTGGTTTATAATTTCCAAAATTAAGAAAACTGGATCAACAAAATTATATGCAAACCAGGTCATGAAAAATTTTTTATTTAGCTTTATTTTTTAGGGGTTTAGATTAAAATCTGTTATCTGAATTCAACATGAATAACTGGATTTTTTTATAATCTGAAATGATCCTTTGGGATTATCTGGCTTAATCCTTTTATTTTATATGTTAATAAACGAGGCACAGAGAAGTCCACTTGTTCTGGCCAGCATTACTTAGTACAGTGCCAGTATAACGATATATAGATCTCCTGATTGTTACAACTGATAGTTAACTATATACTAATGAAGTACTGAGTGAATATTCGCCTTATGCCATCTTCTCAACAGCCCATTTCAGAATTTTCAGTCTTACAAAAACATTTTTCTTTATTGCAGTATACATTTTAATTTTGAATTGCCATTAGCATAAATTTTAGAGTGGAGTCAGCATGCTTCAGGTTGAATAGTAAGATCCTCCATAATCTGTCAAAGGTTATATATCCACCATATGTATATGTATATGTGTATATATATGTATACACACATCCCAGTACATTCAGACTTTTTAATTTAAGTCATATTCATTAATGTTCTTTGGAAATGTTTTATGTTCACCAACTTAAAATCATCTTGTTCCTCTCCAAAATAAAAAAGAATAAAAATGCAGTAATTATGTGTCCATAGTGAAAGTTTAACCGTTGCAATCACTTTTTTTTGTGATGCTGGGGATTAAACCCAGTAGTTCACACATGTGAGGCATGCATTCTGCCATTTAACAATATCCCTCATGTGATCAACATAAATTTTTATTATAAAGTGACAGGGATATTTATCAACTTTGTATGTATTATGTAGTTTCTAAATTTCTTATGCTCAGTGTCCACATTTTTCTCTTCTCAAATGACTTTTTCTCATTGAAAATAACTTTATGGTTATTTGTATGTGTAAATGAATTAGCTTATGTAAATAAAGAGAATAGGTCTTAAATTTGCTTTTACAAATAATGTTAATATTTGGTTTTGTCACTAGCGATAGTCCTACATATTTTTTTTATGTGAGGACTCTCATTAGTAGCATGTTTTTGCTTTTATAAAACAAAAATTTATAATCATATATTATGAATCAATTTCGTCTATTACTAATTTGTGACTGATAAAACCAGTCTGAAATTCATTTCAGTTTTCTAACAGAAAAGTTGATTTAGGAAGATTTTAATTTTTCAGGGGCTGGGGCACACCTGATGATGCTCAGGGCTTACTCCTGACTGCACTCAGGGATCACTCCTGGTGGTGTTCAGGGAACCATCTGGGGTGCCAGGGACAGAATCTGACACGTGTAAAGCAAACACCTTGTTTGCTGTACTATCACCCCAGGCCCCAGGGAGGTTTTAAATATGAAAAATTGTGCTGTTCCACCATTTTCAAATTGTCAAGTACAACCATTTGTCTAAAACTAAAATAATTCCACAAGTTCTTCTCTGTTCATGGAAAGGACCTTCTATAGGACGTTCACTGGGAAAATGTTTACATACAATATTTAGCTGGAAAACTTGGTGGGGGGTGATCCAATTAGGCCAGGTTTTTTAAAAGATAGTCAAATATATATTCTAAATACCTGGGAATGTGGAGGGATAGCGAAGCATGGATTCTAAAGATTGTTGTCTTATTGTAGGCTCGACTTCTGATAAGAATAGCATAACTGAGTCCCGTTAGTTCTTTTGATTTTCTCCTTTTTGTTATTATTATTTGTATAACATAATTATAGTAACATTAAAATAGATTTTGTTTTGGTTTTTGTCCACACCCGGCAATGCTCAGGCATTATTCCTGGCTCTGCATTCAGCAATTACTCCCGGGGTTGTTCAGGGGGGTTATATGGGATACTGGGGATGAACCCAGAGTGCGCCACATGCAACGAAAACACCCTTCCTGCTGTACTATCTCTCCTGCCCTAGACATTGATAATTTTTACATACTGTACCTCACCACCTAACCTCTAAAGTATCCAAGACCCTTTCCCATTATGTTACTTCTAGTCCACCTCTTCAGTCCACCCTCTACTACTACTTGTTAATGTGAATTTTGAAACGTATATTCTTTATAAAGGACATGCTTAGATTTTAGAATATTAGTTTGCATATACATGAAGAGGGCTATTATACTGAATATGGTTTTAAAATTTTGAATGGTCCCTTGGATTAAATTACTCATTTTTAAATTGGGAAAGTTATCCAAACCTTAAAGTGTAATACAATCTTAAATGGCTAGCTTGTCTCACTCCCAAATCCATCCTTCAAAGAGTGGCGGAGTCATCTTTCCTTAGACAATAGTGGCCGTGCTACCCCATATATTTAATTTTATTTGCTCCTTCTTCCATGCAAAATTAAAATTTAAATATATAATGATTATATACAAATAGTACTTAATACTTGTGTTTAAGTATACTTTTAGTAAATATACAAATATTTAATACAATATAGCAAAGACTCTCAATCTGTCTACAATTTAGTAACCTCTCCATTTTACCACATACTCTCTTCTCTACCTCCTTACAAATGCACTGCTCCATCTATTTCTCTGAAGATGCTCTTCAGGAAGCCTCTTGTCACGTCATCTAAACTTCCTACATCACCTCCATGCATTCATTCTCATTTTCATTGGTTGAATCCTACATTAGTATCTAGAACAATCACATACCACCTGATCTCTGAAGTCTCAATATTCTCAACATTCCCCATGTTCCATTCACTTTCTCTACTATGACTGCCAATATGGATGAATTTCTGCTGCTCTGTATAAGATGAACTGCTTGAAAGCTAGGATCAGGTAATACATTTCTATATCCTTTGTAAAGTTCAAAAATGGCTGTTACTGAATTTAGGGATTTATTGGGGAATTGAGGGGAAAAAAACATTTGTGTACACATGACTAAGGCATATGCTATTCTCCTACCTTTGGAATAAAGATGTTAGGTCAACAACACTTGATGTCATGGGATTCTTTACCATATACAGTAACTCAATTTTCAAAAGATCATGTGTGTTTAAACACATGCAATTATTATACTTTTAAGAATATAAGTTTAATAGCTATTCCACAGAAATCTAGAAGTTATACACTGGTTATAAATAATGCAATGAACTTATATTATTCTTCACTTCAGAGTGTATGGAAATAATATCACTATGTCGGTGCCACAAAATACATGTTTATCAAGTCCAGCGTTTAATTATTTCTAAACATTGAGGAGTACATGACTTTTTATCTCTCCCCATACTTTACCCCCAACAGGCTGCTGTGATTGTCAACAGCAGCAGGAGCCACTTTGAAGTTTTGATAAAAGCAGATGAAGATGCTTTAAGACGTCTGTTTGCTGAAAATATCTGGTAACAAACAGGAATTTAAGTGAGTAAATACAGTGTGTTATTGTGATTTTAAATAAATGCTTAAAAAATGTCTAATTGTCAAGATATTTGTTTTGTCCTAGCATGACTTTTGTCCTAGTGCATTTTATATTAAACTTGTAATAAGAATTCATACATAATTTTAAAACCAATCTGACTATCTAAATTGAAATCGAGAGTGGTTGAACTTAGGACATGAGATTTGAAATATGTTAACAAAAGTTGCTTATACACCATCACTCTAAACTTTATTTTATGGAGATTTTCCAATAACCCAGTTTTTCTTTGACAAAAATAGGTAATTAATCATTACAGTGAGTACTAGAAGAAGAAAATAAGAGTTTTACTACTTTATATGTTAGAAAATGGAATCTTTGTTGATACCAGGTTCTATTTATATTTTTATGATATCATTCCCTGCTGTTACTTATATATTTCATTACTGATTTTTGAGCCTCCATTGGCTTTTTCTCTGCTATCAAAATCTTAAATTTTGGTTCTTCAAGTTTATGAACTTAACCTTTCCCTCAATTTTCTTTCTTTAGGAAAATTCATATTTCTGTGATTCAGCTACTATACTTAGTCTAGCAAGTCCCAAACATGTAATAGGCATTCAAAAAATGGCAGATACTAACATTATCTACCTTTATGAATTTGTCTCTGGCTTCAGACATGTTTTCTCTATTGCCAACTTTATATCTCTACCAGTATAGACCACAGTTTTTGTGGGCTCAAATTTCCAAATATTAAATCAGTATTTTGAACCAATTCTTCTTACTCTTTAAAATGTACACTTACCTCAGGATCTTCTGCTCTATTATATATCCAGTACTGCAGCCAAGAAACCTCAAGGCCAGCTTACTTCTCATTATTTTTCAATACTTATTGAACAAAATGTTTACACTATTTTTTAATTAGAGCCAAGATCTCTTAAATTAAAAAAAAACATGAGCATCACTCTCATCTATTGGGATACTATTATTAAAAAGAGAAAATAGTAACAAGTATGGCAAGAATATGGAACACCTAAAACCTTGTGTTTTACTGTGCAAATGTAAAATAGTAAACTACTATAGCAAAACATTATGAAGGGTCACTGAAAAAATAAACATAAAATTACCATATACTCCAGCAATTCAACTTCTAGGACTATACTTCTCTGAATTTAGAGCAAAAAGGACTTGAATAGATATTTATATACAATTTTCATAGCAGCATTTTTCACATGGTCAAAGCACTCAATGTCAACTATGGATGATTGCCGAAATGGGAATATTTGCTATAAGCATACAATGTAATATTTAATAAAAATAAATACTGAGAGACATCATTGCCAGGGATGAATATTGAAAACATTGTTTAATATGGAACTATACAAATACAAATGGACATATATAATTCTACCTGTATGAGAATTTAATATACAAATAGGATACCTGGCTCTGGGAGATAATGAGAAATTAGTGATTACTAGGTACAGTTTTATTTTGAAATGCTAAAAAATTTCTACATATATTGGTAATAATTGCAAAAATACACACACACACACACACACACACACACACACACACACGGGAGTTTGCGGCCACACTCAGCTGTGTTGAGGGCTTACCCCTGGCTCTGGTCAGGGATCACTCTTGGCAGTGCCTGAGAGACCATATATAGTGCTGGGAGTTGAACTTAAGTTCACTGCATGCAAGGCTAGCACTAAACCCCTGCACTATCTCTCCAGCCCACAATGTAAACATATTTAACTGAACATGACACTAATCTATAAACTTAGAAATAGTAAAACCAGTGTTAGCAGGGATGAAGGGAAAAACAGGACCCTCATCCACTGCTGGTGGAATGTTGATCAGTCCATATTGTTTTTGCAAAACAATATGGAAGCTCCTCAAAAACTAGGAATTGATCTACCAGGTGACTCAGCAATTCTACTTCTTGGAATATAAACCAAAGGCCCTAAAAAACACCACCGAAAAGATAGGTGCACTCCTATGTTCACTGCGGCATTGTTCACAATATCCAAAATCTGGAAGCAACCCAAGTGTTCAAGAACAGATGATTAGATAAAGAAACTATGGTACTTATAGACAATGGACTGCTATTCAGCCATAAGAGAAGATGAAATAATGCTGCCATACGGGTGGATTTGGAGAGCACTTGGCTGAGAGAAGTTAGAAGGTGAGGGAACAGCATAGAATGATTTCATAGGTGGAGTATAAAGAAACTTTGTAGTGGAACAACAAATGACCAAAAAAAGTAATAGAAG